GGCGAGTGGCCTAGAAATGTCCAGGGAATCGGAAGCTTCCCTCGCCCTTGCCAGGACGCAAACTCTCCAGCCTCGGGCTCCTAAAAGCGGGTGATGGGGGTAGGAATTTTGCTGGGATACGCAGGCTCCTTCGCCGCCCTTCGCCCTCTTCCGTGCGTTCCTCCCGCGCCCAGGCGGAGGAACTCCCGCCCCTGGCTTCCTCCCCCAGCCGCCTCCCCCCAGAGAGCCCACTGCCCCTTCTCCCTCCCTCACTTCTCCTTTCATGTACGACCCCCGCCCCCTCGCTTTCGTTAGCCAGGCCCGCTACGTTTATCTGATAATTGAGTTATTAAAAGATTTGGTTTCCTTGGGCCCATAAATCAATAAACAGTGGGATTAACGCAAAGGTTTGCCTTTTAAGTCAAGGGAAACGTTTAAAGCAAGCCCCTTTGAGCCTTGTTTTCAAACTAAACAGGTGAGTTGCAGCTCTTCCCACCCCCGACCCCCTGCACTCTTAAGACACTGTATCCAAGCCACGTGCCCACTCCTAAATCCTCGATTCCAAACCCAAATAGCTAAAGGTACGAAGGAGGCTACAGCTTGTGATAGCGCTGCCCTCACATTTTTCACTTTGCAAGTTCCTTTGGAGGTTCTAAAGGTCTCCTGACCATTCTCTCCAACCTTGCCTCCTCCTGCTTGTATCGTGACTCTCTCGGAAGAGCAGAAAAAGAGACTCCAACATGGAAGTGACCTTTAACTTCTCCCCCAAACTGGGAAGGTAACTTTCTTTCCCCTAACCCAGTTAGCTTGCATTTTCTTTCCTTCACTCTGGCACCACGTCCTTAGCTTTCTCCGCCCCTACGTAAAGAACTGAAGAAACTTTCAAAGACGTAGCTCTTTTATTTTCTTTGGCCAAGGAAACTACTTTCTCTCAAGCAATTATTCTCTATCCTATGAAAACTTTGGTTGAATGGAAAACCCGAAACCCCAAACTTATCTACACACTGTTCCTCCGGTACAAAGCCTTACTTAAAAGGGCAACTCGTTCCTCCTGAGAGTGTTTATAGAGAATTTGTCATCACATCTGATATCCTGTATGTGTAATACATCATGTGAAAAGGAAATAACCTAAAACCATCTGATGTTGTCTCAAGAGCCCAAACAGTGTTTTCCCTCCTGTGCTGATGTATGTTAAATGATCGGGTTTAAAAACAAAAGAAGAGATACCAAAATTCACTTTGTTTTCTTTTTAAAAAAGTAGAAGCAACACTATTCTTCTTTAAATGCCAAAATCGACTCCTCTGTTGAGTTGGTGTCTGATTCATTAACATTGTTTCTGCCACACAATCTAGAAATATCAATCTATTGACTCTTCACGAGAAGAGCTCTGGAGGGTATCCATGTTAAGTTTGTATATATTTATTTATGCTTAATTTAATGGGAATGTGTAAATATGGCGAGCAAGTAGTTTGGGATTATTTATCTGTGAATCTATACCTCTGTGAATGGGTGGTAAGAAAAAAAAAAACCCGCTTGACCTTAGGTAGAATCCTATCTGAATTTTTCTGTTCTTTATAGACAAGCTGTTATGGTAATGGGTAGAAATTGGTTTATTGTCCAGTGTTGATCTGATTTACATAAATAAAAAGATTGTTGTGTTTTTGTTGTGTTTTCATCTTCAGTTTCTTGAATAGATATTGTTTAATCGTACACAGAAGGAAAGTATAGCCAAGAAATTTTTTCTTTTTGTTCCCCCATCACCGAAACACAGGCAGTGTTTTCGTTACAATAAATAAATTTGCTTCTCTGAAAAATGGACACTTTCGTTTTCACTAGGAGATGTTTTTGAGTTTTTTTAAAAAATTCTGAATTGATACTCTTCTCTATTTCTAACCAGATTTGCAATAAAAGCTCATGTTAACTGCATCTCTTGGTTTATTTTGCCCTTAAAAAAAATGAGGTTGTCAAATTTACTTCCCAGGTAACTAAAAGACTCTGTGTCCCAGGAGCTAAGGGCCTCTGGGTCCAAGTCAAAGATGCTGCTCCCCTCATGTTGTTGGTGGGATGGCATTCTGGCATGATGTTCTGTGAAGGAGACGGTGAAGAAAAGAGGCCCACAGGATCAGGTTTGGGTTCCTGCACCCCACGTCTTGGGATCTGGATGAGTTAACTGGCTCATTTTAGGACTGAGCCCAACCCTGACCTCCCCAGCAGTGCAAGGCTCTCTATAAAGAAGTGAGGCAAAGCCCCCTTGACGAGGGGAGGAAAGAGGCTGTCTCAGGAGGTTGGTTCTTACCTTAGGCTCAGAGGATGCCTAGAGAAGCCAGAGCTTTTCTCATTTGGGTTAATGTGCTGCAGCCCAGCCCTAATGGGCTGCAGTGATCAAACATCTTCTCAATCTGTATTTCATCCGAAGGTTTGGGTGTCTTCCCTGAGGCTAGGAAAGTAAATTTGTCCAAGATGTTACACAGCTTGGACAAGTCACTGTTTCTCTTTGGACCTCAAGGTCTTTATCTGTAAAATGTGGGCCTCCTAAGGTCCTTTCCGACATCAGCATTGACTAGTTAATTATAAAAAGCAGAAACAGCAATATGTATATCCATCTAAGGATAACTGGCAAAGTTAACTCTTGATAACCCCAGATTATGAGAGTGCTTAGCATATAGTTGGTGCTCAGGTCATTAATAATATGACTCCCATATCAATTTTCTGTCTTTCAGGTGACTCATTCCCAGTTGGCCTTCCCTATAGGGAAAGACAGAAAGGACAGTGGAATCTACTTTATGTGAGATCTCCCACTTCTTGGCTTCTTAATTTTAAAAAGGTGGGGAGGTATCATGGCTAGAACTATAAATGACTGAATCAAAGAAAAGCACCCCCACCAAAATAAAAGGGAAGTAGAAGGAAGGGAAAAAGAAACAAAATAAAATAAAACAACAACAAACAACAACAACAACAAACCCAGGGGAAGTGTGATTAAGAGTGTGTACGATCCATTTATCTAGAAAGAAAATAGGTATATGATTTTGTTTCTGGCTCGGCTATATTACAATGAGTTCCTTCCTTCCTTCCTCTCTCTCTCCACCCCCCCCTTCTTTCTCTTCTCTTCTCTCTCTCTCTGGAGAGTGAGGGGTTGATCGCCACCAGGATTATACAGAGGGGCTGGCCTAGTAATTTTCATCCCCTAGAGCAAATTTTCCTACAGAAGGGTTAGCTCCAGCTCTCGAGAAACAGACTTGCCATCTATTACCCTGTAGCTGCTTTCCAAACCATCTCTCTTTCCCATCCCCATTTGACAAGGATATGAGGCAATCATCTTTACTAGGCAAAACCCAAGGTCCTGAGGGGCCCCAATGTGGGGAAAGAACTGGAGGAAAGGGAAGGAAAGAGGTAGGAAGCCAGAGCCAGCCTTGCCTAACAAAATGGCCCTGGGCTGCTAGGTACAGCTCCTCCGCCCTTTTATCACCGTTTTACCAGGCTGCGGAAGGAGTTACGCAAAGAGCCGGCAGCTGGACCCACTAGACGGTAGACACTGACCACAGGCCCAGCGCGGGGACCCGGGGTGACCTTGGAGGAAGTGTCTGCCGCTCCTGCCTGCCAGGATGCCCGGCTTCCAGCGTCCCAGAAGCCTGCTTGTTTGCTGCCCGCTCCTGTTAGTGGCTGATGGGGCCTTGATTAAAAATAATGCTAGGAGGAACACCCGATTTTTTTGTTATGAGGCCACATTCCTTTCCTTCATTTGCAAATAGCCCCATGGGATCCTTCCCCCGGGAACCCGGGCAGCCAAAGCTTAGAGCCACCAGAGATATACTGGATTGATGGGACGTATGTCTTCTTGGGGGCGCTCACGACTCCCAACTTGCACGCTTGGACTTCGAGGGCGGTTGTCTGTCATGTTGAAGCCTCAGAAATTAAACGTGCAGCTCACAAGTCCATTAATTTTAGCTTCCCATTAATCTATTTATAAGTGAGCCAGCGCTGGCTCTATAAATACAGTCCTATAAAATTGAACTCCTTCCCATAAATCTTCCAAGTTGTTTATTTACATGTATTCCCTGGCCCTGTAACGAGCGAGCTTCGTTGCAACTTGGGGAAGATCCGGGCCGACCCGTCCCTAGACGGGGTGAGCTCCCCTCTCCCAGCTTCCCCGCAGGAGTCGTGGGCTCCTTGGGAAGGAAGGAACTATGCGGGGGCAGAAAACGGAGGGCAGAAACTCATTTTTCCTTCCTGACTTTGCTTCCTCGTGTCTATCCCAAACTCACGTTCTCCATATTTCCCATCACAAGCACCACATTGATTTATACCGTCATAAACAGCATTCTTGCGACTATAACTTCTCTCATAGCTTGGGGTGAGCTCCTTTTTCACTTCCCTGGCAGCCACTACTTTTAAATCAGGCTTCATAAATAACCCCAGCGCTTCCTGAGGACGAGGTCAGTCACACGTCTCCCCGGGTCCACTTTCTTGGG